TCATCATTTTTTGTCTGCACTATTGTAATCTTCTAAAATTTCAGATGATCCAGTCCACTTTCATGTGTTTTTTAGTTTATCAATATATTCATTATTACAACTTTATATTATATACTTAATATATGGCACAGTGAGCCCTATCCTATTTCTCTTGTCTCATCCCTCCTTCTTGCCATTTACTCATTACTTTCAAAATTGCCTTACCCTTATTCTATCATCTCTATCTATATGCATTTAAGATCTTAAAATAGTATTGAAATTACATCAGGCAGATTAATTGGGAGGAGAAATACCCCTTTATAATTTTGAGTTTTCCCATCCATGAACATAGTATATCTATTAATTTGTACATAATCATTTATGTCCTTTAATGGAGTTTTAAAATTTTTTCCTGTGAAGTTCTTTTTTCTTAGGTTAATTCTTAGATATTTTATTACTTTGTTGATATTATAAATAGCATCTTGTTTTATACTTTCCAGCTGGTTCTTGCTGGCATAGAGGATGTTTTCTTGTACTCTTCTGATTTTGGAACCTGGTTAATATATGCTTTATAAAGTGAGTCAGGTAGCTTTCAGTCCTTTAAATTTTCCTGTAACATCTTTGATAAGATAGAGATCATTCTTTAAAAGTTTGATAAAATTTACTTGAGGCATATGTGTGTGTACATGTACACATGAGTGTGTATGTGTGTATAAGTAGAGATTTCTCGATGACTATGGTAATTTATTCTAGTTGATTCAAATTTTCCATTTCTTCTTGCCTCAATAATTTTTCCTTAGAAAGCTCCCCCTCCATTGTATCTATGTAATCAAATTTGTTATTAATAGCACATAGTGTTTCATGATAGTCTTTTATTATGTTTAAAATCGGTTATATCTTTTTATTCTATATTTTATTTATTTGTATCATCTTACTTCCCCCCCCCATTATTCTTGCCAGAGTTTGTCTAACTCATAAATTTTTTTGAAGAAAAAAACTTTTGGTTTTGCTTTTCATCTTTATTGTATTTAACTTTTTGAGTTGATGAGTTACCTCATTAGTTTTTGGTCAGTGAGTATTTCTTGCATGTTAAAGTTCCTGTGGCCTTGTTTATCTAAGAATATCTTTATTGAATCTTACATTTAAATGGGATAATTTAGTTCTAGGTTAGAAGTCCTTTTATTTTTACTCCTTGAAAATAATACTCCATTGACTTCTTGATTTCAGCATCACAATTGAGAAATCTGATGTCAAACATATTCATGTTATTTTGTAAGTCATATATTCTCTTTCTGTATGATTTTAGAATTGCCTTTTGGAATTACATTATACTATAAATCCTAGATGAGGTTTTAAATTTTCCTTCTCCTTTTCTTATTCTTTTGGCATTGTACTAGTCTTTCCATCTAAAATATTTATTTCAGTCTGAAATCTTTTATTCTGAGAATTATAGATCATTATTTATCCATACATTATCTCTTATATCAATTATCTATTGCTAAATATGTAATGAATGACCCTAACACTTTGTGCCTTAAAACAACAATTACTTTTTATGATTCTGTGAGTTGGCTTGGTGGTTCTATTGATTTCACCTGGGCATACTCATGTGGCTGCTTTCAGCTGAAGACAATCGAGGGGGCTGGGCTCATCTGGACAGCTGGCATGGTTAGGCCTCTCTCTCTATGTGGTCCTTTATTGTCAAGAAGGCTACACCAGGCTCCCTCACATGGTTGGAGCAGCTTTTGGCACAAGTGCTTATTAAATCTGTTTGCTTCAAATTTACTGGCACCCCACTGGTCAAAGTCAGTCACATGATCACATGTCCCACCCCCAAACCCAAGGCATGTGTACTTAATACACTTCTGTTTGCATCACGTTTATTGGTATCCTTTTGGCCAAAGTAAGGCAAATGACGAAGCTCGGCATCAATGTGCAATGGGACTGATTGTTCATTTTGAGAGGTGCGATTCACTGTGGGGCATAGTGTTATAATTTACCACATCTTCCTATGCTTTTTTCTTTCTTTACTTCTGGGATTTCTATTACATAGATATTAAAATTTATATTCTAACATATTTTTCTTCACTTTGTTTCTTCCTGATTTCTTCATTTTGTTTCTTGCCTTGTGAGATAGCTCTTCAATCTAATCTTTTGTTCATGAATTCAAATTTTTCTATATTCATTCTGTTATCTCTTCAATTGAGTTCCTTAAACTGTTATTTATTTTTCTACCTGGTATTTTTACTTGATCCTTTTTAAAAAAGGATTGTATTCACTGCATGTTAACAATATCCTATTAGTGGTTGCGTTCTTCAGTTATCTGGTATTTTTCATTGTCATTTCATTTTGCCTCATAGGTGTCAGCTATTTGGCAGGGTATTTGGCATAGTGGGGAGAACCCTAAACTCAGCCTCTCATTTGTGTTATTCCTGTTGATTGTATGGAGGATGGGGAGGATTCCCCAGGGAAGAGACTCAGTGGATCAGAGCCTGAGTTTGACCATCCTTGATTGCTGCCTGTCCGTAAGGCAACCCTGACCCCATAATCTAAGTCCTCATGTCTCTGTCCTAGGCACCGGTGTGGGTTCACTTACTTGTTTTTTTAGGTGTTTTACTCCCTTGACAAGAAGGCAGGAGGAAGGGACACAGATGTATCCCTTTTTGCTGCTGTCCATCCCTCTTCCTCACTGCAGACTTCCAGAGTCACAAGTTTATACTCTGCCCCTCTCCTGGCCTAGAATTCAGTTTTCCTGTCTCTCAATAATTTAAGGCAGGCAAAATTGCTTAAACAGTTTTCCTCTACCTCGAGTCTCCCTTCAAGCGGAGTTTGCCACGTGCCAACTATCGACCACAATTTAGAGCCTGAGCGGATCCCTCACAGTCTCAGCTGGGTCTTTTCAGCTCATCACCCTTGTGAAACGCCCTCCTTTTGAGGCTAAGTATTTACTAGTAATCTCTGAGTTGCTTGGCTCATAAAACTGTCATGCGGTCTTTGTCTTTCCTCTGTTTCCTTCTAGTCAGTTGTTGATACCAGGAAGGTCATTTTACTTGGCGGTTTGGCCCCACTCTTTGATATTTTGAAGTTCATGGGGATACCGTGATACCTGGTTTTGTTCAAGATGTTACCTGCAGGTGGTTTTGGTTGTTTGTTTTGCTATCTTAGTTGCTGTGTCTCTTTTTGTTAGGGAGAGTCAAGGAGATAAAAAAAAAAACTATATCATCTGCACATGTTATGGGATATTTGTCCAAACCTATGGAATATACAGCATTAGGAGTGAACCGTAATTTAAACGATGGACTCTGTGTGATAATGATGTGTCCAGGCAGGCTCATGAGTTGTACAAATGCACTGTTCTGATGAGGGATGTCGACAATGAGGGAGGCCGTGCCTGTGTGTGTGTGGGGGGGGCGGAGTATATGGGAAATCAACCCAAGCTCTCTGAGGCCCTCCACTGTGTGTCCCCTTCTTATGCAACCCCGTTTCTCACTTCATGCACAGTCTTCTCTCTTTTAGAGAACAGCCAAGGCTGCTTTCTGCCTCTGCCTTCACTCAGCTTGTTTCCCTAACCCAGAGTGGCCCCTGGACTTCCCCTCTGACTGTCCCAACCTTCACCATTTACCAGAGATCAGTTCAAGTCTTGTCTTCTCTAAGATGTTCCCTCTCCAATCTCTCCATAAAATTTATTGAGTGCTTGTATTTGAATGCCAGGCACTGCTAAATGTTCTACATACGTTATCCTTTTTAATCCCTACAACAACCCTGTGAGATAATACAATTGCCATCTCATTTCCTAGACAAGAAAACTGGAATCTAGAGAGGTTAGACATAACATGCACGAGTCAGTGGCAAAATGGGGACTCGAACTTAGATACTATCATCGTGACTTCAGAGACCACCTTCTCAATCATTTTGGTGCAGTGTCTCAGAGATGGCTACTGTTAACTTTTCTAATGAACATCCTTCCAGAGATTTCTTTTTTTCTCTAGATATGCAGATACATACCCTTCCACACTCTCTCTCTTTGATAGAAAAAAGATTTTGCATAAATTTTATATAAAATTTATATAAATCATTACCTTGATTCTTAAAGTTATTAGCTATGGAACCAGGAACAGTCCTGTCTTTTGCCTTCCAGCTAGATTTTAAATTCCTTAGTGGCCTCTTGTTTCTGGATACCCCCCTTCCCTGCAATTAACTCAGTACTGAGCACTCAGCAGGTGCTTTATAAATGCTCATTAATGGGCTGAAATAAGAAAGGGTGTAACTGAAAAAAGCTAATTTGCAGATAGGGTTACAATAGGTCGTCACAAAGGCTTAGGGGGCTCCAAGAACTGTCTATTATCTCTCTCTAGTAGGTCACTTCTAGGTGACTTTGGACATGAATCTTAGGTGGGGAGGTTAAGAAATGAACCTCCTGTCTCTGCAGCTGTGGAGGAAGACCAGGCATATTTGTCATGGTCGTCAACCCACCTCCTGGGTAGGGAGGTTTGCAAGAAAAGGGAGATAACATCTATCAGTTGCTCAGAGCTTCCTGTAGAAGCCAGACCACACATGTACGAAGGATAATTGCTAGGGGGAGGGGGCAGGAGCAGGAGAGCTGGTCCTTGTGCTCACCCAGCAGGATGTGAAAAATTCAGCTGGGTTCTTTTTATAGTTTCAATCATCCCTGGTAATGAAGATTCTGCAATTAGAACTCAGCTGGCAGTTTCGCTGGGGGTGTGTGAGGCAGAATAGAATCCTGGGTCTGCAGGAGGGCAGGCCTGTTTGTCAGGAAGACTCGAAGGCGCTGCTGGGAACAAGTGATGTGATGTAAGGACGAGAGCTATTTTTACAGACCATTTTCTAGCCATAATCACTCCTTAAATAAGTTCCACTTGGGCATTACAACTTTAACATTTTATTTAGACTACAGTTAGCTCTCAATTATCTATATAAATGGAGGGCAGTATTAACACAAATAATAGAAAACAGTGACACCTCATTTATTTAGGCCACCACTAATATGGAATGTATAATAATTTCACCTGAGCTTGATTGGAGTTCACTTTTATCTATTCCATGAAGAGAGGATTTGCTGAAAAATATTCAAAGTGGATTAGCCTACTTAAGAAGGTAAACCACTTTCAATTACTTATGCAAAATGATAAGTAAATTTTTATTGAGCACTTGCTGTGTGCTACGTACTGTGCTAAACCCTTTTCAAGTGTTATTATGATCCATAATCCATTTAGTCACCTTATTAGAGAGGCACTATCACAAACCCCATTTTATGGGTAAGGAAGTGGGCCTCTTGTCCAAGGTGACATAGCTACCAAGTGGCAGATCCTGGCTCTCACCCCAGACAAGCCTAACTCAGCCACTCTTGCTCTCAGGCATGAAGCAACAAGCTGGTTCCAAACCAGGCTCCTCTAATCACAAAACAACTCTGGTCTCCACTCCGTGGCATCACTGTTAGCAATCAGGGCTGTCATCACTGATCTTTAAAAATCTTTGCAGTAAAGGATGAGGGGAAGCATCAATTTCTTGCTGAATTATGAAATGCCTTTCTTGTTCCCTACTTGTGTATGTACTTCTTGGTTCCTTCTCTATTGAATTCAAAACTCTCACTAAAACTCCTACACTATGACAACCATTCTACCTCCTTAAACTGTATTATAAAAACATAAAACACATCTGCTCAAATTGACATTTCCATCCTGACAAACTTACCTAGTTAGCCACAAGCTGCAGTTTGCTGTTAGAGTCACATGTCTTTGTCATGGGCTAGGTAGGTAGATACCTTAGTCCTTCCTTGTGTAGAAACCCTGTGGGGCAGTAGAAATCTCAAAGAACAAAAAAGAGAAAGAGAGAAAGAAAACTTACTGCTTATTAACGTTCCCATAGCTGTAGAACACAATGATCTATTTTATACTTTTTGAGGAGAGGCCCATTCATGAATGTGTGAACATAGTTTCGGCATGTGAGGAGCCGTATTGCTCTGTAGTGTTTCACTCAGATAAAATATGCCCATATCCTAGATAGGGCATATTTATAAGTAAGATATTTACTTATCTTTACAAAAGATAAGTAAACATACATTTATGTTTTTAATTAATTAATATATTGGAAAACCCCATCCTCCTTATATCCTAAGCCTGCAACTCAATAGCTAAAATGTGGAGTTACATTTATTCTTATAATTGTGACAACGAAATAAGCTTTAATTAATGGTGTTCAGTGCCAACAACCTAAAAATCAATAAGTTGGTGATGTTTTCCTATGAAAACTGAACCAGAGAAAGTGATTTGAAGCTGACTTAGATTTCTAAGTGGCCACTACTGGGCAAGAGAAAGTTTTGAGTGCTTTGTAAAATCAATTTTACTAATACCACACACACACACACACACACACACACACACACACACACACGCGCGCGCGCGCGCACACATGAGTTTTATTAAAGGTAAGAAAAAAGTTTGAAGAAAAGCTACTTTGGCTTTAAGTTGAATATTTAGTTCTGCAGAAAGGCTGCTATGTTAGAAACCTAAGTATAATTTTAAATATAGTAAACTCAGCCTCCTCTAGGCAGCTTATCCAAAATAAATCTTTAATCTCTGGTCGATTTAATCTCTCCACCTTCCTTCAGTCCTACTACATTCAGTAGATACGAAACAGAAAACACAATTTAATTTTAATTCAAGTAAATCTATGGCAGAAAAAAATCTGTATTGAAAAGAATCACTAATTACTTTCCAAGAACAACTAACTACCCAAATCCCTAATTTTGTGATCATCTGCTCTTTTGAACGATATGTGCCAATGCTCACTGCCATTTGTGTGGATAATTAAGAGCTGCCTGTGCATAAATTATGCATGATAAATATTGGCGTGCACACACACATGGGCGTTGGGGCAACGTGACCGTGGGTGCCTGGCTTCACTTCAGGTAAATCTGATGGGCTTCTTGACTTCAGGCCTGGGCTGGGCATGGCAGTGGGTGAGCCTGGAGCTCCTCTGAGGCCTAGGCTAGAGGGGAGGGAGGTGGGAGGTGAGGGGTGGCCTGATGTGGTCAGTGGAAGGGAGAGGGTGAGAAGCAAGAACCAAATCAAACTGTGGTGAAAATGAGCAACCTACTGGTAGTGAAAAGCAGAGTGAAGAGCAATGCAGAGCTGCCACCAGCCCATAAGGTGGCATTTTGGAAATTAGAAAAAGCTGTCTCTAGGTGGATGCAGCCCAGTGGCAAGGTTCACAGCTGGGCAAGCATGCTTCAGATTGGATTTTGTCCCATGTGCTGGGGGATCATACCCAGAATGCAGCCTGCACAACCACAGAAGTTTGCCCTGGAGTCAAGAGGGAGAGCCTGGAAGGATCATCTGAGGGATGGTCAGGGAGACTTTGGGAAAATGTTAGAAAAATAAAATTAAGAAAAATATATACCTAGCATTAATAATATATATATATAAAGAAATAAAAGTAAAAACCCATCTCCCTAAAAGCAACCATTATTAACACTTTCTTGAATATTCTAGGAAAAATTTTGTCTAGCATAAAATTTATATTTATATAATAACACATATGTGTGTATATATTCACAAATCGTTTGTAGTTACCTATGTTCCTATTACACATACTTTCAGCAGCTCGCTCTTCTCACTGGTATATTTTGAAGTAATTTCACACAGGTGTATGTATGTTAACCTACTTCTTTCTTTCTACTGGATACATGGTATCCCATGATACACATATACTCTGTTTAAACAGTCTTTTGGTTTTGGTTATTTAGATTCTTTCTGATCTCCTACTGTTCTGATACTTCAGTAAATGTCCTTAATATCTTTTTCAGTATATTGGCCGAGTCAGGAGAATGAAATGGAAGCATTATGTCCAATTTGGGTTACTGTGAGCTAAAAGCCATGGTGGGAACTTGGCCTGACGAGTCTCTTGCTTCCAACAAACTTGCCTCCCTGACGGTGGCTGGTGCTGAAGGGCTCTGGGGCCAGAATGACAGGCCGTGCACTGGGAAACGTATATCTTACTTCCTGTGGGTCTGAAACACACTGTCACTCCTTTTCTGAAGAGAGCCATAGAGTGACCCTGGAGCTTACCCCTGCCCCTGCTGTGCCCACCGCACACCCCAGCCGTGAGCTGGAGAAAGGCGTCCCTCTGCTTCACACCACTGGATAGGTGACAAGGCAGGCACAGCTGCCTGGACAACACTCTGAAGAATACAGACCTTGGGTGGCAGCTGTGGATCCAGCTCCACTTGGCCAACTTATTTCTGAGAGAATGGGTCTTTTGAGAATTCCTCTGACACTGGTTACAATCCATTTCAGAGCTTCTGTGCTCAATTTCTACCTCCTCTGGAGGGCTCAGTGGGCTGAGTTATGCTGAATTATGTGTGGCTCTGCTTCCAGATTCCCTAAAATAAGAAATTGAGGAAGAAGTTATATTAATGACCTTCCTTCTTCCTGAAGGTTCAATCAAATGATAGGAAAGCAATCTGCATAGTAATGACAGTACCCCTCCAAGAGAATCTCTGTGCCCCAGCCAAGGAGAAGAGCACGGAAGTCATATCTATAATGAAATTCAGACCCATCTGCTTCTAAATCATAGGGAGGTTAATTCAGGCTGTGCAGTCACAATCAGAAGTAGCATAATATACTGGTCACTGGGATAGCTCACATTGTTCTTCTCAACAGTGAAGGGCAACAGAAAATGAACTGTCACCTGGACAAGGCTCGTGCTGACAGGGACCTTAATCTGGGACTGCTCGATAAGTACTTTATGAAGGTACCACTGACCAATCTGAATTATGAACGGAAGCCTTGCCTTTTGCAGCATCTGAGCAGAAAATATAATGGCTGGAGTCTTTGCCCTAAATCCTCAAACCACAGGACTAATGGATGCTAATGGTGCTACTGGGTCATACTTTCGGGGAGTTAGAGGTGTTCAGGGAAGAAATGCATATCCCTAACCTTTTGAGAGTGGCCACCCACAGACCTCCATTGATAACTCTCTTAGCCAGAATGTGATGCAGATGCAATTTATCATCATGCTCTACTGTGACATTTCTTACATTCTTACTGATTGCTTCAATGAAATTACTTTCTGTGATTGAATAATATTTACCTTTTAAAGATGCAATAAAGCATCAATCAATCCTCAAGGCTTTAATGGTAACTAAAGGACTACCATCTGGAGTCTACAACCTTCCAGCATTCAGGAGCCCTCCTTGCCTCTTCATTGCTGAGTTACCTCGAGTTCTGCCCCAGGCCAGCAAATTGAGGAGGTCTTGGCCATTGTGTCTACACATCGTCCAGCTGGGCTCTTTGAAAAAGAAGTGAGTTTTATTCCTTTTCCATTCACTCCTGACAAGTGCTCCACCCCCAGTTAAGATTTCAGAGAATGGATTTCTTCCTAGAGTCCCAACACAACTCTTGTCTTTGTTGAACTTGAGGTTCTGCCTGATCCTTGTGCAAGGGCTTGTGATGGGTAGTGCCATATATGAGATGGGCTTGTATGGAAGTGCCGAGTCAGAGGCATTGAATGACCACCAATGATTCAGCATGAACTAGACACCATAAAATACTGCTGCCGGATGGCGTGCACTTCAACTCTGTTATGTGTTTTATTTCACTCTCTCTCTCTCTGTGTATGTGTGTGTGTATCTAATCTTCCTCTACCTCCTTATTATAAGGATACATGCGATTGCATTTGGGTTCACCCAGAAAATCTAGGATAATCCTCTCATGGCAAAATCCTTAATCTAATCACATCTGCAAAGACCCTTTTTCCAAATATGTTAACATTGCAGGTTCTAGGGATTAAGACCTGATTTCTTGGGGACATCATTCAGCCTAAGACACATGCTTCTATATATTTCCCATATTGCTATGTATGCACAATAGATGCTTGATAAATACTTTTTACATTGAATCGAACCTTTATTGGAATGAGCCCCAGAAGTTCGAAAGATAAGCCTGTGTGAACTCATTGCACAGGTGCCTCGCACCATATTTCCCACCTTGGGAGGAAAGAAGCCACCATGTGCTTTATGTTAGACATTGTACCAGGCTTTTCTCATACTCTGACTCCAAAGGAGGAATGGAAAGAGAATGAGGTAGCCATGTTAAAGAAGAAATGGGAGAGTAGTTTGGGGTTGTTTTTCTCTTGCTCAGAAGGTGGAGAATGACATTGAAGCCATAGGGAAATGTACTAGAACACTGATTTACATTCCTTCTGCTCACCCGCCCATCAGATCCTATCTACATGAAAAATTAGTCCCATGGTTATCTCTCAGCATGACGGTCATGGGCACACAGTACACGTCCAGAATCAGACCCTGGACAGTCAGGTTTCTCTTCAATGACCAACCATGAATTCCAACTTCCCTTCAGTCTGTGACAGCTTCTGCGTCTTCACACTTTTGCTGTGTAGCTGGTATATTCACAAGTTAGCAGAACACAGCTTAGTCTCCCAACTAGGAGAGTTGAACTGGCTTTGACTTTTGTAGATAACAACAAAAATTCAAGAGGAATCTGAAGTTTGGGGCAGGAAGAAGAAAATATTTATATTCAGAAGGTTAGGACTACTAATAAGAATGTAGAGTGACTGGATAACGAGGGGCAGTGACAGTTAACAGACAGAGGGGGAGAAGAGAGCCATATGTTACCTGAGGACACCAAACAATTGATCGCAGGACAATAACCATTTGGACTGCAAGATTTAAAGCTAGAGCAGCCACGCAGGGAAGAATGTTGTTTGTTCTTCAGTTTCAAAGCATAATTACCTTCCATGATGAAAAGACGCAGTCAAGCACTTTATAAAATGTTTACTCTATTTCCTGAACTGGTGTGAGGCCCAACTCTCCCCAGGCATACACTCTGGCTCCAATAGCCTTCTGAATAGAGGCTGAGAACTTTCGAGCCCCACCTACCAAGGAGCTGGAATATGGATAGTCAGTTCTGTTCCAGAGCCCCATGCTGTCTTCAGGCCTGTGCTGCTCTGCAGTCCTGCCATCAGGCTCCTTCCACTGCTCTCTACCAGGTCTCTTCTCTCTGGATACTTCTTCACCTCTTTCATGAGCTTTCTTTCTGTAAGCCTTGGTACTCACCCAAGGTTCTCTCAGATTGCTTTTTGCCTGTCTGTGGACGGTCTCATCCACTCCTCTGGTTCAATTACTATCCATGGACTGATCATTTCCTAAATGTTTCTCTCCCTTGAGCCCTAGAACTATATATACAACTATTTATTAAATGTTTCCGCCTGCATATTCTTCCAACACTTCAATTGCACCATATTCAAACTGAACTTACTATCTACCACCCCAAGCTAGCTCCAATCCTGTGTTTTTATTATTTTTATTTTCATGGATTTATGTATAATTATTAGCATTACTATGAACTTTGAATTCATTATTCTTATTGCTATTTTTAAAAATAAACTTTTTATTGAAGCGTAAAATATAGAAAAATTCACAAATCCTAAGTGCACAGCTTGATGAATTATCGCAAAGTGAACATAACCCATGGGATCATCCAAGTCTAGAGGCAGAAGGTTCACCAGCATCTCAAAGGCCTCCCCTGCATGCTTTTCCAATCACTAACTTCCCTCTCTTCCTTGAAGGTAAGCAATATAGTGATACCTAACACCATAAATTAATTTTGTCTGTTTTTTAACTTTATAAATGGCATTGTAGAGTAAGTATTCTTTTGTGTCTGGCTTATTTTGCTTAACATTATGTTTTTGAGATTTATCCAAATAATGGCTCTAACTGTAGTTCATTCATTTTAATTCTTGTGTAGTAGTCCATTGTGTGAATATACCAAAATTCATTTGTCCATTCTACAACTGATGGACATTTGGGCTGTTGTAAGTTTGGAAATATCATGGATGCTATTTCGAACATTCTAGCATATACCTTTTGGCACATACACTTCTGCAAGCTTTTGTCCTTGGGTCTGTCATTTTCAATGCTTTAATGAATGACTTATTAAATCCATGAATCACACAAGTACATTAGATAGCAAAATAAAAACTCAAAAAGCTCTTGATATGTTATTATAATTGGCCCAAACTAATGAAGTTAAATTTAACAGGCATAAATGTAAAACTTAATATTTTTCTTTAACAAATGTGTTATTGCGCATAACATTTCTCAGTTAAAACTGAAAAAATCTAAATACCCAATAACATGGGAATGGTTAAGCAAATTATTATTTATCTTTTCAGTGGAATACTAAACAATATCCCAAAATGGGAATTGTGAAGGTTATTTAAGCACACAAAAAATATTTCTAATATATTACATAAAAAGCCACTAATGTGTATATAATTATATATTATGGTTATAACTTAATCATACTGTACAGAGCAATACTTTGAAAAAAATGAAAAAACATGCTAACATGGTAAGATTAGAAATTAAATTTGCTTTCAAAATTACCTTTAATATTTTCATGATACTAGTCCTGTGAAAATTAAAAATAGCCAGGCACGGTGGTGCACACCTGTAGTCCTAGCTACTACTCAGGAGGCTGAGAGTGGAGGATCACTTGAGCCCAGGAGTTTGAGTCTAGCCTGGGTAACATAGAGAGATAATCTCTTAAAAAAAAAAAGCAAAAAAGAAAGAAAATTAAAAATAGAAATTTAAAAAATTATTAGATAGATATGGAACATGGATGTGTAGGGGCAGAGAAGCAGAGATATGAAAATGTACTTAACCTCTGTAATCTCAGGTGAGGATAATAATGCACCAATTTCCTAGATTGTTACGAAGGCTGAACGTTGTACTGGAGAATCTCTGGCACTGGGAGGGCATGAAGGGCAGTATGAGAGTGACATAAGAGGAATGCGTGAGCTCAACAGCATGGAGAAAATGTGAGGCGCATGTGTATGAACTTGTAAGGAACTTTTCTCTCACTATCCAAAGCCAAAGCAATCAACAAACAAAACCCCTTTCACAGCATGAAAGTTGTGGGAAGATACGGAGGAGGCAAAACACGGCAGCATTGCAGGGTGTGGGGGTGACGGTGCAGGGCTGCAATGGTTGCGGTTCCCGCTGGAGGAGCTATTGCAGCTGGGGAGCAGTCAATCATGACTCAGTAAAAAGGGTGACTGCTAAGACAGAGGCTGTCCTGACAGCAGAGGCTCTGATGTCTGGTACTTTCCATGCATCATTTGAGTCTCTCCTCCAACAACTATAAATTTGTGGAGTTGCACATGCACCCCAAGATGGGAGTTCTGGGAGACTTTTAGCCCTGATGATTTGTAACTTATAGATTTAATGTTTGTTATATATTTTTCTATAAATAAATCTCTTTCTGCAAGTTATACCAATAGACTATGTGACAGGGTTGGACAAGACATCACTTGTCCCATTTAGCATCAGTGCTTACTCTAGGATGGTGATTAAACTGGGGACTGTCAACCCCCCGTAGAGAGTTCTGTGACTTTGAACTTGTGTGATTCTATCCTTTACCTGGCTGTATGAATTTCTGCCTCTGTCCATAGTGTCTGCGATATATTTACTCCTGTGTGTGAATGTGTATGTATGTGTGTGAAATATAACAGACATACAGAAAAGTTTTTAACATAAATATATGATTTCACAATTTGTAAAACAAACTCCTGGGTAACCTACCTGTGTCCGGATACAGAACATTACTAGTTTTAGTTCTAAGACTTGTTTAATTTTGCCTTTAGAACAATTAAATATAAATTGCATCATACAGTGAGTGTCCTGTATTGTTTGGCTCTTTTCACTCAATATTTTGAATCTCTTTAAGATTCAGCCTCTATGTGTCATGTAGCTATACTCCCCCCTATTTATCCTGGTATTGTATTTCATAGTATAAATATATCATTTGTTAAATTTATTCCACTCTTGATAGACATTTAGGTTGTTTTCAGTTTGGTGTTATTATTCAATATTGCTATGAAACATTCTTAAATATGTATACTGATGCATATAAGCATATGTTTTATGGGGTATATACCTTGGAGATGAACTGCTGTGTTATAAATTATGCATATCTTATATTTTACTATAGATTGTCAATCTGTTTTCCATAGTAATGGTGCCAATTTACACTTCCACCAGCAGCATACCAGAGTTCTTGCTGTTCTATACTCTGACAACCTTGATTTGATACTTTCGAGAGTGTATAGTGGTATATCAACGTGGTTTTGGTGTACACTTCCCTAATGAGATTGAGTACCTTTTCACACTCATTGTTTATATGGGGTTTTATTTTGCAGGTGTCTGTTTAAATCTCTCCATTTGTTATGGTGTTATCTATTTTTGTTTTCTTTTTCATTTGTACATTTGTAGAAATTCTTTATATATTCTGGATACAGACCCCCTGTTGGTTATACATATTACAA